TGCAGGCAAGGAGGGGCGCCGCAATACAACAATACCGATCAATAACGACATGCACTCCAACTGCAATTCGCGAAGTCTGAAACCTAGCTTGACTCTGAACTCACCACAATGCAGTTTTAGACTGTTCCAACGCAATACTCAATGCTCGATTCGTGTACCGCAATACAAGTGCCGCAAAGTCGACTCTGAGCGATGGTGGGGCACCATGCGAGCGATGTCGCTCATTGTACTGCGAGAGGCTTAGCAGTATCTGTTGTGCCACAAGAAAATGTCGAATCGCTAAAAAGGAGCCAGCCAGTGTAAGCAAAAAAGCTTAATCCTAAAGACACAAGCACTACAAAAAGAAGGTGAAACTCCAGTTCGGGGGGGGGGGCACTCCATTGGTATCTTATCCGTAGTACTAGGGAGCAGTTCTTTGGGCTATCGAACATTACAACATAATAGATTAAAAAGGTGAACACTGCATTTCGTAGCGTACTTTGATAAGGACCGGTGGATGTTCTACATTTCCACACTACCCTGCCCACATCCCATCCACTTTTCTGCACAGGTGATCCACCCTGGAGCTCCTGCACCCTTAGCCCTTTGCGGAGGTGTCCTTTCTCCTGGTCCAGGACCGTTCCCTTGGGTCATGGCAGGCGGAAATGTGAAAACGTTTCAGGGTTTCTCACCCATTACACCAATATTTATCAGAAGTCTACTTTAAATGAGTCGATTACGTGTCGTGAGCCCTCTAATCCTTATCTTGAGTATTGGAGAAAAAATGGAGTGGCCCCCCCCCCGAACTGGAGTTTCACCCCAAAAAGAACCTAAGACCGCACTCTCGCCCGTTCATTAAAGAGAAGTTCGCCGCTTCTTCACAATATTTCATAGAAAGACGAAAGTCATGACAAAATAAAAAGGAAAAGAACGACAAAATCCTAAAAAGCCCGACCATGAACCAGTAAAAGTAGAAATGAAACTCACGTACCAACGAGGCTGTGGTCTTTCTTGCAATCGAATTTTTGGTTGCTCAAACGATGAATAAAGGGATCGAAACGGAACACTAGCTGTTCGAAGTGCAACAACCCATCGTGGTTCGCGTCCCGCTAAAGACATGCAATCATTCAGTCATATACTATAAGATGAACGTTGAATGTAGAAAATGTGAAGAAAATCGAAGACAACTCGGCCTTACCATTCTGGACTTATTTCCCAGATGATATCACTACTTACTGATTGTGGTTTCACAAAATTTCTGTTTGATTGCCTAGACTCATTTAGAAGTTTTGGCTGTGTCCACTTATAGCACAGCTTCCGTAATAAAATTGCAAGTCATGACTTACCAATAAAGATCAGACAACAGACCTCACGGTGGAAATTGTCTCGAACTGCTCACAATTTCGGGTGCTGTACCCTTCCACTCAGCCATTTTATTGATCGATCACTCAAAACGTGTGTAAACGTCGAGAATAGTCGTACATCTGGATGACATGTTCGCAAGCCCTAAGCTCAATATACCCGAGCCAATTCCATCTAAACATCGCTAATAACCACTCATTCATTGGGAAGCCACAAATATGGCAGCTATTAAGTGATTTTCTACTCAATAGAGCATGTACAAAGACCTTACCGTTGACGAACAATATGAAGACAGGCTCCAACTTGCTTCAGTATACTTCTCTCCCTCCACTGATTGAAGCGCTCTCCAAGTGTAGTTCGAGAATCTTCCAAGTGCAGGAGCCTAGGTCAAGTCTTGCTATCCGCTTGTACAGGCCATTGACGCTCAACCATGTTCCACTGACTCGGACACTTCTATTAACCTAAAAGCAAGTGCGCTCAACCACAAGCAGCAGGAAGTAGAACGTGTGTTGGTGACTGGGAAGCTGGTATCCATTTACAACCGCTCTTTTCTCAAAAAAAATATTTAAAATAAAACAACTGCAGGTAAGAAATGTGGGCCATGAGTTACCACTCTCCACCCACGTTGCTTATTTATAAACATACGCAAGCAGTGAAAAAAGTGATGAGAACGGTGGTTTCTTCACCTTTTTTCACTTTTTATTGAGCCTGCCGTCCCTACTTTCCCGATCTCAAGAAACCCGATATAGGGTTCCAAAACTGGAGAAAGACTAAAAATAAACAATACTAACCTCGAGGTATGCTTAGAGAAGTCATGTCTCAACCTCTCCATCAAGGCTGTTCGGTTCTTCTTCTCTTTTGCTCTAGTTGAATCAATGAATAATCAACCACTGCACATCACTTTTTGTACTCACCTATAACTGAATGTTGAGAAAAAAGGGAACGACAGATGTCTTGATCTCCTCTGTTCTTCTCGAGAAAATTTTTTAGTAAATCTTAGAAAACAACATCATTACGAGCTCACTTTCGCAAACCATTCAGAGACATTATGCCGAACAGAAGTGCGATACTCATCCACTGACTGAAATATTGAAAATAGAAATGTGAGAAGACATAGAAGATTAAATAAAGCATTGAATAAGGCGCTTCACTTTAAGAAAAACCCACAGCGGAATCTATCACAAAGACATGAAGATACGCAATATTCGGTAGGTCCGAATGTGTCATGTGCGGCCCAAAGCACAGGCTTTCGTCGAACGCACAAAACTTCAGCGGAAACGTCAGTGGATGCGGAAACGGTTTTCCTTGTCTAAATACGAGCAGATTACAGTTCGAGTCCGCGAGATAAAAAAGGTTAAATGCGTCTTGCCGCGCGATTAGTAATGAGACGCTAAGAAAAATGGGTTTCTCCAGTATCAACTAGTTATAAAAGAATTATTCTCCATTTTTAAGAAAATGCCAAACTAAAATTGTTTGCCGGACCCGCCAGATCCCGCCATCTCCATAGAACGACATCTTTAAAGATGCCGGGTACAGGATCACAACCACAATAAGTTTACCTACTTTTTGACACCAATTCTGCACCAATAATGCCTTTATACATGAGTTAAAGAAGGGCAAGTTCAATTTGTGAAGAAAAAACTGAAAAGTGATGAATATAGAGAGAATTCAGATTATAGATCATGTGAGTAGCAGGAAACGGTTCCAGCCCTAAAAAAGCGATAATTGGCCAATGCGGATCAATTTTGTGCAAACTATCGATTCCAAACTAAACAAATTTGGCCAGGACGAAAACTCAGAGGTGTATCCTCATAAGCACCCTGATAAAGAGGACGCCATTAACACATTCACGCCGATGGCCGCCCATATGGGCTGCCAACAACATGCGCTCCTGGGACGATGGCAGCCCATATGGGCTGCCAACTGATAATCGCTTGCCAGGCGCTAGGAATGGACAGATAGGTGGGCAAACCTCGTAATCGAGTGAAAATGCTTTTAAATTCCTTCACGGGGAAAGTGAATAAATGCTCTCTTTTCGTAACCACTATTCGTCGTTTTGATCGAAATCCTACTGTTATATGTTTAGATAATCTTTACGCATTGGACATTGCAGAAATTATTTTGTGACATTCATGTTTTTGTTCATTTACAGTAACAAAATCTGCGGATGTGTGGTGAGGCGGCGGCGCCCACAAAATCGCGTCCGAAAGTGGAAAAGGGGCGCCGTCGTGAATGTGTTAACATAACAACCTTTTCAACAGTTCTGGTAAGGAATATTGGTGCATCGTAAGGCAGTCT